GCCCCCCCTCCTCCTCGGCCCCTCCCGGGCAGCTGCCCCCGTCTCTGGTGGGCCTGTAGGTGTCCTGGGGGGGCCGGGGGCAGCAGCAGAATTGTCGGGGCGCAAACCGGGGTCGTTCTCTCAGTGCCCCCCCCCCGTCTCCCCCCTCCCCCTCTCCTGGTACGCTGTAGAGCCCCCACACTCTCGAACCCACAGCAGAGCGCGGGGGGCCGGGGAGACTCGGTGGGCTCTCTGGGAATTTCGCCTTGGTAGCAACAGCGGGGCGCACCCGCGTACCCTAAAAGATCTCTGTGGCAACAGCAGCCAGCAAGGTGGGTTGTTGCCATGGAAACAACCACCCTGCTGCCCCCCCTGCCAGCCCCCCAGCACCGTGTCCGTTCCCAGCGTGCACCCCCAGGGCAGGAAACGAGCCCGCTGGATCACCGCGGCGACCAGGGCATGCCCGCGACTGCCATGGCAACAGGAGGCAGCGACTCTTCCCATCCTCGCCCGCTGGGGCGGGGAGGCCAGGTCTCCGTGGCAACGGGGGAAGGCGTCATCTCTGCCCAGAGCGACAGGCTGCGGGGCAGGCCCCCCGCAGGTTTCCGTAGCAACCGAGGAGCGGGTCTTCGCGGGCAGGGCGGGAGGGGGAGGGGGGCAGCTGGCGGGGCGGGGGGGACGCGCCGGGCTCGAGTCAGAAACACTGAAGGGCCGGATACTGGACGATCCGCTCGCTCGGCGGGGCCCCGGGGGCCCGGCCCCAGCCACGCGTGAGGGAGGTTCTGTCTAGAATAGGAATGTTTTTTTTTTACTTTTGTAATTCGTCTGTGTGTGCGTGAGTGATTTTTTTTTCTCCATGTTATGAACTGGAATTTGTTTCTTTTTTAAATTGTTAAAAAATAAAAGCTGAAATGCCACACGCTCGTGCGTCTGACCTGCTTCATTCCAGAGCTCCCCCCCCCGCGGTCCTTCTGCGAGAGCCGGGAGGACTCTGCGTCTGTTCGGCGCGGCAGGCGTGAGCTGCTCTGTCGGCTCCCGAGAGATTTGGGGTTTGTTTTTGTAATCGTGCAAAAACTGCTTCTAACCCAGTCCATTCTGCGGCAGCTCTGTCCCACCCTTTCCCCTCGCTGCAGAAGAGTCTCACGTCAGGACTTGGGGCTCCTCAGTCCCTTTACTTTTATGAACATTGCCGACTGATTTCTGTGTGCGTCTGTGTGAGAGAGACCATCTGTCCTCACTACGTGTCTGTGCGAGCTCACCTGTCCTCACTGTTCTGTACTGCATGTCTGTGCGAGCTCACCTGTCCTCCCTGGAGACCGCAAACAAGTGTACAAGAACAGACTGAGGCTGAAGAGGGGTGGAGGAATGGAGCAGGAGGGGGAAAAGGAAAGGGAGAGAGGGGGAGGGGATGTCGTGGCCTGAAAGTGACAGATCGCAGCTCATCTTAATGCCATTTTGTTTTTATTACTATTATTGTATTGATCATTTTTTTCTTTTCAACAAAAACAAACAGGAAAAAAAAAATAAAGATTTAGTCTCCGATTCCCCTCCCCCCACCCTGTCCTAACCTCTTCCCCATTCTGACCCAACCCGGCATCGCCAGGGAATGGACCGGCGCCGCCGCCCGGAGAGAGAGAGAGAGACGGGGAGGAAAACAAATTTCAACAAGAACAATCGACAAGACAAATCAGATTCCCAGCACCTTAACAATCATCAGGAAAACAACAACAAAAAAAAAAAATAAACCGCCAAACCTGGAAAGAAAAACTGAAAAGGCTCCCCAGGGAACAGCCGGACCTGTCCCACCGGCGCCGCCCACCGACTCGCCCCTCACTTAAATTACAGCCCAAGAGATCTCAACTGCTCACTTATATATATACTTAAAGAATATATATATATAAACTCAAAGAAATTCTATTTAAACCAGAAAACTAAACATGGCAATTAATGGGAGACCAATCTGGAAACAGCAGATATATAGATTATATATATAATTTTTTTAACCAAGTCTCTCAAAGAACAATGCAAAAAAATTAATTATACAGTACTGATGTGCAAACAGAGTGTCACTGTTCTGTACTATACACAGCTCATATATATATATACGTGTATATATATAACTCGGCAAGCTCTCTGCCTGGGGCGCCTCATATACAAAATTACACCGCGTGTCCGCTGTCCTGCTGTACAGACGATACCCCGCCGTCGCCTGTGCTTCCTCTAGAGACAGTAACGATACAGAATAAACCCCCAGCGCGCACGGAGGCAGCCGGGAAGAGGGGACAGGAGGAGTTCCGTCCTCCCCCAAGGCTAGACTTCCACTAAACGGCACTCCTCCTCCTCCTCATCCTCGTCGTCGTCTCCCTCCTCCTCCTCCTCCTCAGCCAGCCCGGAGCTGCGGCACCACGCCCCTGCCCCCGGCCCCCTGCCCCCTGCCCCCCCAGGCCAGGAGGTTCCCAGTGGGAGAGTGACTGTTTCACACAACAGCCACTGCAGTAAGCCGGCAGGCTGCTTCCCTGCCCCCAGCGGCCCCAGTGCTCCGGACCGGGGCAGGCGGCCGGGCGCGCCCCCGTCTGGCCCCCGCAGGGGCCCCCAGGGCAAGCGCCTGCAGGGGGCGCCGGCGGGCCGTGAGCGCGGGAGGGGAACGAGAGGGGGGGGGAGTCTCTGGTGGGGGGAGGCAGGCCTCGGTCCTTGATTTTCAGTGCGGCCGGCCCCCGGGGGGAACAGGAGGCTCGTGACACTGGCTAAGCGGGGGGGGGGGAATAAAAATAATTCAGAGATCCACAACACAACCAAGAGAAGGAGATCCGGGTTTCTGAGCCGCGCCGGGGGGGAGGGGGGCGCGGCCGACGGGCCCTCTGTCCGACCCCCCCGCCTCTCTCGCGGGAACGCCTTTCACTAAAACCCGGGGGATTCCGAGGGGGGGGAGCCCACGGCTGCTGGGTCCTGGCCAGGGAGGGGCCCCCCCGGAGGAGATGGGGCAGCGAGGGCCCCCCCCCCTCGCTCCGGCCGGCCGGGCGCGGCTCAGAGCTTCAGCTCGTTGGCGACCTTGGAGGCAATGTTCTTGAAGGCGATGGAGCTGCCGGAGATGCGCTTGAAGCGCACGCCGTTGAGCGACAGCCGCGGCAGCTTGCACACCTCCATCTCCCACTGCACGTAGTCGTCGCGCGCGGGGCTGCCCGCCACGCACAGCAGCATGTAGCGCTCCCGCAGCTCGTAGGCGCAGCTGTTGGACTCCAGCACCTTGCGGATCTCCTTCATCATCTCGCCCGGCTCCATGGAGCTGGTGGTCTTCATGCTCCAGGTGAAGCGCAGGGAGCGGGGCTTGGAGTCCTTCGGGTCCCGGGAGTTCTCATCCTTCTCCTTCTCCTTCTCCGCGCTCCCACTGCTCAGCATGGGCCTGGGGGGAGGGGGAGGAGGAGGGAGGGAGGAGGAGGGAGAGAGAGGAGTGGAAGAGGGAGAGGAGAAGGGAGAAGAGTGGAGGGAGAGGAGTGGAGGGAGGGAGAGGAGGGAGAGAGAGGAGTGAGAGTGGAGGGAGGGAGAGGAGTGAGAGTGGAGGGAGGGAGAGGAGGGAGAAGAGGAGTGAGAGTGGAGGGAGGGAGAGGAGGGAGAAGAGGAGTGAGAGTGGAGGGAGGGAGAGGAGTGGAAGAGGGAGAGGAGGAGGAGGGAGAAGAGGAGTAGAGGAGTGAGGGAGGAGGAGGGAGAGGAGGAAAGGGAGAAGAGTGGAGGGAGAGGAGAGGAGGGAGGGAGAGGAGTGGAGGGAGAGAGAGGAGTGAGAGTGGAGGGAGGGAGAGAGTGAGGGAGGAGGGAGAGGAGAGGAGTGAAGGAGGGAGAGGAGGAAAGGGAGAAAGCCAGACAGGAGATGATACAGGCAGGAGGGGGGAGGGGTGAAGAAATGGGAGGGAGGGAGAGAGAGAGAGAGAGAGGCCGTGAGCGACCGGCTCCACCTGCTCGGCGACGGCCCCTCCCCCCCCACCACACACACCTGCCACTGTGGGGGTTGGAGGAGGAAGCCACTGCTGATAACCCACCCAGAACAAACCCTGAGGGTGGAAAGAGCTGACACAACCCAGCTCACGCACTGCAGCTGTGAGAGAGAGAGAGAGCGCACGGGCCTCTCTCCGCCACAGTGTGTACAGTGCGCCACGGCGCGCCAGGCCGGGGCAGAAGAGCCCCCTGCAGCGCAGTGGAACACTACAGTGCCGCACAGGCGCACGCAAGACAGGACAGCAAGGCCAAGCGTCACTGTAGTTCAGCGCAGCACAGCAGAACTGGGAATAAAAGAATACAGACCAGCACAGTACAAAAACCTACTGTAGAGGTCTCTGCAGT